TCTCTCTCTCTCGTTCCTCTTCTCTCCCAGTCTCATCCTTGCCCCCCCCCGCTCCCCAAAATCCCTCAGTTCCCTAAAACCTTGAACGCACGCGCACCACTTAATCATTTCCGTGGGCTTGCTCACGGCTTGATTTACGATCAACTGCGACGTACTGCTGCTGCTTCTGCTGCAGTAGCGGCAGCGGCAGAAGCAGCAGTGCTTTCTCACTCTCTTACTCGTTCGCAGTTGCACTAGCACTCGACTCGCTTCCCTCGTGCTTGCGTGCCTGGTGGACAGTGTTTTGAGAAGGGAAAAACTCATATTGAAAGCAGACGAAAGTGGGAGGACGAAAGAGCGAGAGAGAGCCTGGGTAAACACACATTTTTGCGAACTGAATGCACAAAAAACTATAAGCCGGATGCGCTAACGTTCGACGTAAACGGCTCGGTTACTTGTGACAGAGTCAAAGAAAGGAGGAGGCCTTTTTGATGGCATGTTGAGATTGGCATTCTGAGGGAGTTCACGCTTTTAAATAGGGCCAGACAAGTGTGTTGCGATAGTTTTTTCTTAAACTGTCATTTCTTTAAAAATTTTTGACGAAAAGCGAAGTCAAAGTGTCCAACTTTCCTTCTTCTTTTAAAGTCTCCAAACCTGTCCAGTGGAAATAGATTTGTTAATATCCAAAGTGTAGAATACCTGGAAATCAAAATTCATGGTTGCAGGAAACAAAACCAGAGCTTTTTGGGAAGTGAAGAAGAAAGAATATTTTTTTTACAAAAAAAACAGGGCAGGTTTAGACTGAAATGCTCCATGAAAAACGTCCCACCTTCGAACAACGACTCTAGAGAGCCATGACATTAACTAGATGGTAAAGCTTGTGAATAACTGACTTTCAGTTCCTCGGTGATATTTTATTCTGTCAAATTTCATTGATAAACTAATATTTGAAAACCGCCTTAATCACCATCTTAGCGGATGCATTCAAATGACTGTGGAAGAAGCAGCGGATTTTGGATTTCCCGACTACCTGACAAGTCCGAATTAGCGCTCAAAATGCAAAGGTGGCATAATTTCGGGACTTGAATTTGAAGTAAAATATAGTTTACTAGATCAACTTTCTATATAGCTCTTGAAAATTAGAGTTTTGAGTGCTTTTTTACCGCCAAAATAACTGTAGCTTAACTGGGGTCCTCCGGGAACTTCGGGAACTTTGGTAGAAAATTTGACACGGCATCGTTTTTGAGTTGTAATGCATGAGAAAGAAAGTATTAATTTAAACTCTATGCTATGATGAGAGCCCCATATATCACGACGATTGAATAAATCCTTGAAATGTTAGTCGGCGCTTGTTTATGTCTGGTTTCGTGACGAAGGGCCTGGCCCTCTTTCCGCGTGAGCGTGTGTGTATGCATGTGAACACTCACGAAATATCTTTTCACTTACCAAATAGCATGGTTTCATTAAACCAAGACTAAGGTTGCTTTTCTCACGTTAAAAAGAAACGTTTTAGCACATTTTTTTTTAGGTAGATAGCATGCGCGATAGTTGATTTCTGGAAAGCATGTAAATGATGACGCGGGGCAAACTGGTCTTCCTCTTCCCCTTTGGTTAATTTTCAAATGAAAAACTCTTTCCTCAATGGAAGAAAAACAGGGTGTATTTTGGTGCAGTAATTAGTTGCACTTTATCCTTGTGTAATTATCTAAGCTAACCCCCAAGCAAAGGTGGTCACGATGGCTTGTTACCATTCACCGACCGATTGACACCTCGTGCGCTCTCGGCATCCTCACAAAGACCTCAAAGACAATTTTAATTCCTCTAAAGTTGTAGGTTTGTAGAACTAGAAAAGAATTTACTTCCCCAATCTTTATCAGAAGGCAAAAGTGAAGAGGAGATGCCTGAACCTGGATTATCGGAGGGTGAAATTAATTTCCTTAACGTCGTCACCTCACCACACACACAGAGAGAATTACGAAAACACCTTCATCGGTTTATTTGCAGTGAAACCAAATAAACTAAATAGATTTTGGTTTGGCCGAGACAGCTTTTGCATTAACGAAAGTGATATAAACAAAGACCCCGGAATGTGGTGGTAGTGGCGGTGGTGGTATGGCTAACAGCTAGAGCGGCTTCTCCACGAGAACAATAAACCATTCCGGCTCTCATAGGGTCGCAAACTGCCACACTGTGGATTCACCTAATTGAGCAGTCAAACCATTTTTTTATGGGAATCAGTCTATCATTATACATAAAATTTCTTCAGTTCCTAGGAGATTTCGCCCCAAAATACAAGACACTGGATTTTAGTAGTTTAATAGAACAAAGATAAAGTACTTGTTTTGGTATTTCTTTGCTATTTACTTTGTTTACCAGAGCTTAAAATTATTCTGAGATTTGATGGGAACTGCATTGATTTAAGTATTACTTGGCTGAATTTAATTGGCTGAACAACTTCTTCAAAAACCGAATATCAAAAATTTCGTAATTTGCTGGTAAAATTTCGGAAATACAGACAAAGGACCATAGCGATATTTCAAAAACCGAGACAAATTATAGTTATGAACGTATGTCCCGGATTTCTCTTATTTCGATATTTATTTAAATTAGACCTAGGAGAGAACCAATGATGACATTCAAATGGGTTACATATTAATGGGCCAACATTGACAGTAATTGGCCCGAGGGTAACCCCCAACACGAATAAATTCATTTTGATGTCTGGCAAACAAATTAGCATTAAATAACACTACTTTTACCGATTTACATATGTGGACCATCTGGACCGGTTCGCTCTCTCTCTCTCTCTCTCCACCTGACTATGAGGAGGAGGATTGGGGTAACTTGCATACATTAGATAACTAATAAAGACGACGATAGAGGAGAAAAAGAAAAAAATGCGAGAATTTTGCGCAGAATTTTTTGCCCTTTCCACCGCTTTTTCCTCCTCTCATTTCAAACTTGTCACAATCTAATCGGCCTGTCATCAGCTCAGCGCAGAAGCAGGTACGGTGATGGCGATGTTGTTGATGATGACGGTAATACCGAAGGTAAAGAGGATGTGTGTGAGTGTAGCGCTATCGCGGTGTCCTGTCAGCATTGTCGGATTCGAATGTGGGGATTTGAGATGAGGGAGGAGAGAGGAGGAGGAGGAGGAGGAGGAAGAGAGGGGAAGTGATGGGATGGCAGAAGTCTGTCATTGTGTTTTCTGCGCAGATACGCTATCCGGTGTACGACTGTTAAAGAAGAGATGGATGCTGCGCACTTGACTTGCTCAATACACAATACGCATGATTATTATGCCTCGTTGACTGGTTAATCAGGCTTGTTATTGTGTTTTATTAAACAGCGCAATACTTACATCGCCTCCTTTAGAGTTGTTAAACTTCCGTTTGTTTTTTCACCATCGACTTTGAGTAGTGAATTGACTGCAAATTTTAGTAAACTAGCTTTCTAGTGTAGTATTGAAAGACTTCGCTGAAGACGAAAGAAGGCCTTGGAGGCCACTGGCATGGCCCGGAGGGCAAGCTGCCAGGCTGAGGTACGATGGCGGAGCCCCTAAGCGACCCATTGCTAAAACCGAGAGTTAAGCAAACTAGTAAAGTATTAGGTATAACATTTCAAATGGTCTTGTGGCTGACTTCTTAAAAATCCATCGTGATGCATTTGGGTCAAGAAACCGTCCAGCCTCAGAGCCAGAAATGCGACCACACGGTGTAGAAAGTAGTCTACTCGGACCAAGTCCTTACATTAAGTCTATTGGTTCAGTAATCATTTTTGTCACTTTTCCTTAGAGACAAAGAATTACTTCTTATTCATTTGATAAATACAAATGGAATATAGGAGTTTTAAAGAAAAACTTAGTTGTATTGAATACTACTTTGCGAAGGCCTTCTCCCCTCCGATGGTAGGATTCAAAACTTCTCTATCTGCGAGATAGCGGAATGTCACGGTAGAAGTTCTTCATCTAGAGAAGGAAAGTGTCTCGCTAACACAAAGATTGAGCGAGTGATGAGGTAAAAGCAAGTGCATAAAAGGCGCACCTCATCTCCTTGCAAGACTGGACTACCTTTCAGGACGTAAATGACATTCAGAGGAGAAATTTTCATTGTAAAAAGGGAAATATTTTATGCGGAGGCTAAAATCAAGTGACTTTTTATCATTCCCCTTCGCTATTTTTTCGGTAATTTGGGAACAAATGAAGCTTACTATATGGATAGCAACAACCCCGTCTTCTTATTACGTCAGCAAGGCTTAGGACACATAAGGGAATGGCTGAGGCACAGATGATCAGAGCAATGAATAGCTAGTTTATTGTTTCAAGACTGCCCTCAAGACGAAAGAAGGCATCACACAGAAGCCGAAAATGCATTACCGATGACCAGAAGGGCGAGGAGGGCTGCTGGCATAGCCCGAAGGCCATGTCGCCAGGCAGAGATACAATAGCCCTGCCCTCTAGTGCCCGTGAAACGAAAACAAAGAGTTAAACAATCAAATTTACACTAGTGTGCGGAATGTGACCGAGATACCTGAAAATTTTGCCATTAAACATATATCTTCTACCTCTTAAGCATGAAATGGGTAGGTTAGGATGCAGTGTGAGATCAGACGGTACGGAATACCACGAGTAAACGGCACTTCTGAATTTTTGGTTCTAAGGCAGCAGTTAAATCGGTGTAGTCGACAAAATTTTTAAACACTAATTTGTTTTACTTTTCAGTGGATACTCTGTGCTTCTTACCCCGCCAAATCTTCTGATGCACGCCATGTGCGCATTTTGGGAGGACACAATGAGCGGTTGGTCGGTCGGTCTTGTTGTGAAGATGGTTAATTAAACAGGTCGGGCGATGGCTCGAATCAGAATTGGTCAATCGTTGGTCGGTAAAACACAGCCCCTAATCGCTCTGATCAGATGTTTAGATTGAGGGTTTTGATTGTGGCCAAGACATGCATTGTCCGCATTCTTATTGGCTCAGGTTACAACATAAAGACAACAATTTTTTATTTAAGATTTTAAAGTCGGTTATTCAACTGTTAAGTATCAAAATTACTTGATTTTACAAACCTTATGAACTTTTTCCATCAAGTTTTTAGTCTTAAATGGCTAGCGTAAATAATCATACCCTAGCGCTATCACAGGAAAACTTGAGGGTTTCAGGTCGCCTTTTGTACCGTTGAACATAAACCCAGGGCCGTGCTTGCTTCGAACACAATGCCAATGACAATGGCAACTACAGTTGGTGCACACCAGTCCCCACACTGAGCTGTTAATCCCCCAGTTCAGAACTCGGGAACTCGACAGCCTTGACAGGTTAGAATCCAGCTGAAGGCCATGGAAGAGACTAATCTTTAGGCCCCTTAGCTGACAAGAAAACTTACCTAATAATCGTGACACTTGACAAAACATATCCATTTTAAATGGACATCACAAACTAATTTGAGTGGCGCATCATTGCGTCAATCTCATTTGCCCCTATTTTGGGTTAATTCCAGTCTCAATGGCCACTGATGAAATTCTCTCCTGTTGCTTAGTGATGGAAAAATGTCTGTTTTTCAACAGACGTCTTCTGTCATGAGCAGCCTCAATAATAATCGCCTACGACATCGTGCCAATGATTTATAGCCTCCGCCTTGGGTGAGCACGGGATTATCTCCCATTAAGACTTGGAATTTTACGCTAGAGGCGTGGATTGGAGGCCAGTTCTAATCAGGCAAGTCCTTTTGTGGAAGGCAAAGAGTTCATTCATGGATTCAAATTTAGGTCTTCTATCTGGGGAATCCGTGCTGGAGTAGATGCATTTGACAACAGAGGCAACGAGGAGGTACAGGTTAAAATCAGCTTAGTCAGAGTATTTAGAAGAGGTAGTTTATCTTCAGACCCGCAATCGTGCTATTCATCAGCATAAGACTAAACTGACACTTTAAGCGGCGATTTAATAATGTGGTGTGTTAATGCGGAAAATCTGACCAAAAAAAGACCAATTGGATGTAGTCCACAATCAAGGGTTCAAGAGGGTTCTAAACCCCCGTGAGTCATAACCTAAACAACACTTGATCCGTTTACCATATAGTATCGTCATCTCAATGACACAGTTGTCTCGTTGACACAATATAGCGGATACTCTACTATCTTACCCCAACGCCTAGGTAAGGTGGGATTAGGCCCTGCCCACGTTAGTTATCATATCACTTTTTGCGAAATTGTTGAAACTGTTTTTATTTAGCTGCTCTATTAGTGTCTGGCTGCCTTCGGTTTTTTTGACAGTCCGAAATTCCATTCTGATTGATACGTACGCCTACCGAGACACATACACATTTCTTTTTTTTCGCAGGCATACATCTGCCGGGCATGGCATAGTCTATGGACGGGACTGTGTTCTGTCTGATGATATGATGATATGGTTAGCAAGGTTAGCACGCGTGCACACACACAACAGGTGGGAGGAAGAGAGGGAGGCCTGTGGGTTTAAAAATAGGATTTTGTCTATCCCCACTGGCCCAACCATTATCCTTCATTTTGAACTCGGTGGGATGGAGGGGCAGTTCATCTCCTGATGTCCAGTCGAACGCACGTGTCTGTTTTAAAGGCGAGGTAGGGTGGAGCCAGATTAGGCGAGGGAGGGTGGAAGAAAAGGCAGGGAGCAAAGAATGTGTGTGTGTCTACCCCTACCGATTTGGAAATGCCCACGCACACACGTTCACCAGTTTTCGGTCCGTCCGCCTGTGAACGTGCGTGTGTGCAGCTCGCATTGTGCGGTGCAAGGCATGATGTGAACATGATTTAACGGCCATCTGCAGGCTTTTAATTTGTTAGACAGGAATTTGGACGTGGCTTGCTCGTAGCTCCCAACTCGCAGTGATCTTTGATCCAAAATTAAACAGCGAGGCGTGTGGGGATACGCAAAGGGAGGAGGATTGGAAAATGTGTTATATCTATTATCTCTACCACAAACAAACAAAGGGCGGAGGAGGTACAAGCACAGATGGCGTGGCTCTTTCAAACTATTCGTGTTTGGTACTAATGACGTGGATAAAACACGATGGAAGAACAGCAAATCATTGCTTCTGAACAAAGGGTTTTGAAACAATAACAAGGCAGATTGCTTAAAATGAAGAGTGGAAAAATGATCTGTCCAGGTATATTCAGAAATTCCTCAAATCTGAGTACGCCAAATTAACTGTTTGGATAAAAAACAAAAGAATTACTCATTAATATCTATAAATACTCCCGCTAATGCCTCAATGAAAAAGAGCTGAAGGTATTTCGGAGAACCCCAGAATGCGTGGACTTGTCTTGAATATGGGCTGATGCCTCTGCCTTCCTTCACATCGGAAGCAAATGCCCCGTGCATTCCCAAATACTATTTTTCCTTGCTCAATGGTAGCCTCGTTCTAGACACACCCTGCACTCTTCTTGTAATAAACACTTTTTTGGTTTCACAATTTCCTAGAGGACCCAGATGTTCAGAAGGCTGGTCGCTTCCGATAAGGCGTAGATATCTTGACTTCGAGGAGGAAGAAATTAGTGGCTTATGAGGCGAAAAAAATTTAGGCTTGTATATTGCTGAGGCAAAGGCGGGACAGCAGAGTCACCCAGAAAATTATCTCGAGCACTGTCTTTGGTTGCACTCCTGCTCGAACGAAGGATATGAAACTGTGGTATCCGTCGGTTCAAACACCACCTAATCAGAATCACAGTACTTCCTTTGACATTATGGTAGGTCTTGACATTCGTACCACGTTTGAGTTGAGAACAGATTGGTTGAGCATGAATTACTTGAAGAGATGAGGGACATTCTAATCTGAGGACGATTAGCTTTTTCAGTGATAATAAAAGGCATTAGCTTTTTTGAGATCCTCGTAGTGAACATGATAACTGGTTTCGACAGGGCCTATGGATTAATCCTCTTATCTCTCTGCATCATTATAAATCCTCTCTCAAGCATGATTTTGGATAAATCTTCTCAGCTGTCTGCCACGTTGTGACCTTCTTTGTATTCATAACGAACCTGGTTTTAGATTTTTACGCCTTAAGACCTCTTCAGGAGTAATTTAGGCGCCACAGCACAAGAGGCTGATCATGGATGTGCCCATGGGTAGAGGGCTTGAGCAACTGTGGTGATTAATTTCCACCCAACAATTAGTGCGGTGAGGGAAGGCAGAGGCAGTGATGCAGTTGAAAGCGCGAACTGGGTTATTTATGTCTTTCCATCCATGCGTAAGAAATGGTGGTACCGCTACGATCCATCCTCAAGCCGAAAGTTTTGCAGTGGAAGATGGATGCTCCTAATTGTATCATGATAGCCAATGTAGCATTGGGATTAAAAATGAACCTCAATTTTGCTTATCCACTCCGATCGGTGTATTTAAAAAAGACTGCCTTCAGTAGTTCAAGCAGTGACTTGAAGCAAACTGCGCAAAATTTCTAATCCCCTTACCTCACACCCTCTAGTCCTCTCCTCAAATGCGCTAGTGCAGAAAGCGGGATTAATTGAAGGGGAGTGAGCACCAAATATCAATCCCCCTCCGCCCTCCTCGCAACTAACTCGCTTTTCAGAGGAGCATTTTACACCTTATGAACAGACTTTGTGGTAACTAAGACAGCGAGGGAGGTAGCAATTGAGTCGGTGAAACTGTCAAATTCTCACTCTCTCACCCTCTCCCCACCTCTTCGTGCAGTTCATAAGCATGCTTTTCTTGAAAAGAAGGAGAAACGTAGGTGGGGAAGAGGGGGAACAATTTCCCCTACGCGTGTACACGTATAAATAACTCGTTCTTTTTAATTATCACAACCCTTCTCACGTGTATTTGCGTGTGTGTGTGGATAATGGGTGGTTGTCAGAGTGGTGTGTGAGGTAGGGGAGGGAATGTGGACACAAAGAGACCTGTCAAAGATGTTAGAACTGTAGTGCGTCTTAAAGCTCACTTTTTCACTGGGCTCTGGGGTAAGGGAGTAACTCAAGGATGTGTTGATTGAAAAAAACCGAGGCTGTATACGCTCAAGTCTGATTATAGGACTTCTTTCCTAAATAATCTAATCTTGTGTTGAAACGACCTGCTTTCCTACATCAAGTAGAAAATGAGTCTTATACACTTTTTTGAAAAACACCAGTAATTTTAAACCACTTTTAAGGCTTGTTATATCTGCGATTAACGATGCAACTCAAGTTGCACAAAAAAAACTATAAAACTTTTTTATGCTTTTGGTACTGAATTTGGCTGGCGGAGATTTTAACCTTGACATAAACGCATGTCCGTTGACTACAACAAATATAAACTGCATTTGAGAGTCAGTCTAACAGTTACGACTTGTTAGTCTATTTGATCTCACAGCCTCTTCCCTCTAATTTAATGGCGTTAAAAAAGCAACATAATATATTAATACAACATAATCATATAATAATAATAGTTCTTAATATTCATGGAGAATTCCAGTCCTCTATTTAGTGGTATGCCTGAAGATGGACGCGTTGAGAACATTTTAGTCATGTTTAGCCTCATAAGTAGTGTAACGACTGGTTTATCTTCACATCAATTGAGAAAGGAAAGGGATGGAGGAAGGTGCAGAGCATCAACGGGTTCTCTCCACTTCATACTGTTTGCTGAGTGACCCACATGAGGAAATGGCCTTTGTGTTCAACCTTTATTAAGCAAAGGTTCATGTCATTAGTTATTCTCAAAGGAGCAGCTAAAAGTCGGGACAAAAATACGGGAAGGGTATTATTAAGCTTCGATAATAATACTTCCATCGACTGATGTCCGACTGGACCACCTTCTGAGCCTTAGAACTGGCGGCTACTAGTTTAAATTAGAAGCCTCTTTACAGACTTGTGTCTAGGCACGAACTATAATGCCTTAAAAAGTTCTTACTAATGCCGTCTAAATTTGTAAACAGGAGTCTACGTCACGAATCGCCTGATGAATCATTCATATCCTCTTCAGTAGAAACGTGGATTCTGTAATTAATCTCTCTGTCCGTTCACACATACCGTCCATTGACTAGTTCGATGTTTGGAGCTGTAAAACACGCCCTCACCCACTACTGTCGCCCAGCGGATCTCGCTACTTCAAATCGCCTCGCACGAGTCGTATAGGCACATTTAAAATTGCATCCTATGGTTTATCAAGTGGGAAGTCGAACAACAGTTGATGGTTGAGAATGTCAGGTTCCGTGTCGGTAAATTGAAAATGGTGCAATTTGTTGAAACCAGGTTCTATTTTGGGGATTAAAAAAAGCGTACGAAAAAACTTTGGATTAAAGAGTAAAATTCGGAAACCCGTTTAAAATTGTAACGGATGCTTCCACCCATTTAAACAATTTGACTTCAAATGTAGGCGAGACGAATATACTTGAGGGGGTCGCATAGTACCTGATTGACAAACCTTGCTGCTTTTATGCTTCTCCTTCGGCAACCTATGCTTGCTGCTGAATTCCGGTAAATCGAAATTAGGTAAAGCTGAAAGGGAATTCACCTACGTAAGGAAATCTATGTAGTTATGTGAACTTGTATAGGTCCTGAGTGTTTTGTACATTTGGTTGATAGTAAATGATGTGTGAGACGAGTTCCTTACCTTGTTTGTAATCACAAAAAGCGCTTTCATCCAGTTTAAAGAATCGCTCTTTACACGCGACCGAGGCAGATATGTTTGAAGGAGCCGCATACTTCCTAATTAGCTCACTTTGCTGCACTCCTTTATTTTGAAAATCCACTCATGGCTGCTGAAGTGTGACATGTTAGCTAACTAAAATATCCGTACTCCGAAATTAAGTAAAAACAAAGGGATTTTCGCTATCTAAAAAGTGGTTTGCTTTTGTAATTTAGCATGAATCTGAAGCATCTTTTGCGGATAAACAAACGCTTGCAAAAGCAAGTCCAACCAGAAAAGTTAAATTTCCTGATTTTTTACAATTACAACGAACACTTCTATCAATTTAAACAATTTAACTCCGAATGTTTGAAGGAGTTGCATATTTCCTAATTGGTTTATTTTGTCATGTTCTGCATTTTTCTAAGGAAAATTTATTTGTCGGTGCTGTTATTCGACATTTTAAAGTACATCATTAGTTTGTCGTATTTATTGCCCGAAAGACTACTTATCTATGGAAAATGAGTCAGGATAAAAAAGTATTTGACCATCCAAGATAATAGCTCTATTTTCGTGATGCAACGTGAGTCTGGACTGTTTTTAACGCGAAAGTCGGTAAGAAAGTCAGCAATAGATTTTGATAGCTTTAAAGCTAAGCCCCCGAAACAGTAGCAGTTGAGAAGTTCCAACATATAGTAGTTTGATCAGAAGACCAAAATCTACCAATAAACAAGGGCTTATTTTGAACTAAATGCTAAGTCAGAGCTTTTTGAGACAATTAAAATCTCAGCGTTTGAGACTTCCGATATCAGTTGCAATGCCATCGTGAGGTAACAAATTCGCTGACGGCGCCTCAATAGAAAGTCGGTCGGCACAGTCTTGAGAAGATACTTATTTATTCTTAACAGCATAATTTAAAACTAAACAAAATAATATCCTCAAAAATATGTGACGCTAACGGCAAATGTGTTGATCAAAATTACCTTGTTGTACAGCATTGTTAAATGCACGTTAAATAGGAGTCAACTCTTCATATGTGTTACTTTACTCCCGCAAATTTTTTAGTATCAGCTCCTCTGTTGTTGGATTATTCGACTGCGAAGAGTGGTACTTCCCATTATACGGCACTCCGAACACCTTTGAAGTTACGTCACTTCCATGTGTGTGTGAGAGAGTATGTGCGTATAGGGGTGTGCGAGAATACGGCCAATGCCAAAGTGAGCTTTCAGTCAGAACTTACACTCAAATTGTACTTTAACTTAACTTCTCTGGCTCAGTCACCCAACTGATGTCTTGACATCCCCACCAGGCCATTTTGTACCCTAATAACGAACCTTCTTCCACAGTGATATCCCTTGTTTCGCTTTCAGAGGTGAAAGCAATCAGCCAACCCCACCTAATTAAATGAAAATCCTAATTTATCGGCCTGGATACTATAGCTAAACGTCACAGAAGGAAAGCGTCTTCTGTGAATTTTTCAATCTTTGGAGACTCCCGATGTAATGGCCATTGAATGCAATCTGACTTTGGACAATCTCTTTACTCCCGAGGTCATTATAATGACCAGCAGTGAGGCGAGGCCAGATATAAAACAGTAAATTAAGAAGAAAAATGATACAATATGCCTTTGCTCAGGCTGCCAAATGGTGAATGCACTTCCCTATGGCGATTGACAGCATGGAATCTACTTGCTGTAGAATTTCATCAAGCCTATCACATTACTTCCTTAACGAAGCCCTCCTGATTCAGACTGTCTTGTAGAGAGCACGACATTCAGGAATTTTCAACTAAATAATCAGCATGTATTGACGCAAATGAGGTCTACAACAGTATCCCCACTGTGCAAACTCATTATTTTGTCTCCGTTCCTGCCTTGGGGATGGTTATTACTCAGAGAAGAATGGTACCTTGCGCCCTCTTTCGAGGCAACTCCTGGCGCTGCTGTACATTGCTTCAAACTACTAACTTACCCCCCTTGAATTACGAATAGGCCTACCTACTGAGTCTGCTTCATCTGGAAATCGAGGCAGTTTCCTGTGGCCTCTTATTTGGCGATACCAATGAAGCTAATGAAGATCTTAGAAAGGAAATTTTCTGACTTGCCAAATAACTTGGAAGTGAGGAAGGCCTGATTTTGCCACTTAATCTAGCTCAAAGGCATTGCCCTGAAAAGCTCACAGCACGCGTGTCTAGGGGAGGGGTCTAATGTGTTGGAGGCAATGATATACGACAAGGGGAGTCCAAGCAGTTAAAATATTCATGCCTCCAAGTGTATTATAGTTTCACTAGGGCGTACAAAAGAGAGGTGGAGAGTGAGAGAGGATGAATGAATGAGCTAATACTTGATAATGATACAGTCCTAAAGGGTGATTTATGGGCAGAAGTAAGGGAGCAAGAGAGAGAGCACGCACAAGAAGCCGTTGGGGATAATTACAACTCCTGGACCCCATCCCACTCCATCCATCTCTTCCTCTCTACTGCGGTACTGGTGGGTGTTGTTATTACAGACACCAAAAGTATGGGGGCTCTAATTGTCATTGGAATGGAATGGAATGGACGGGAGGGAGGCAGGGATAGGCGGGGTGGGGAAGGAGGGAGAGCAGGAGTGGGGAAGGGGCAGATGTTAAAAGGTGAGTTTCCCACTTTGACAAGTTACCGTTCATTGGCACTAGGTACCTCCCTTGTGTGCACCTTATCAGGCAGGGGAACGCTCTTCAAAAGGGCCTTTGGTTTGTTTTTAGGTGACTTTATGGCGAATCGTGATACGCTGATGGTGGAAGACCTGACTCCTACCACCATTTTAAATCACAAATTTTGGTCTTAATTGTCGTGCAGCTTAACGGTACCTGGGCTCTCGAAACTAAAGAAGAATTAGTAAGATGGGCAGGTAGGAAAGAATTTTTAGCTCATAGCAAAAAGAATGGGATTAGGATACTAGATATTTCAATCTACTCAATTTCAGGTATAATTTTATCTAGTCTCAGCACTCAACTGAACGTTTGTATTAGGTATAGCGAATGTTGAATGAAACATAGTTGTGGAGAAAAACTGATCGACTCATATTAGGAGCATTGAAAGGTCTTCATTTGTTAACCCCGAAAAATCCCTGGAACTCCAGCAGATAGATAAGAAATCTTTCTTCTTCAGACCATTATTTCAATTCCCCATTTGGATGGATCCTCAAAGTAGCACCAAACACTAAACCAAACATCATCCATTTACAGTCGACTGTAAAATTTGGAAATCAACAAGAAATCTTTTGATGAGATTAAATTAGAGGGGATTATAATTACTAGGGTCATTATTAATCCTAAATGTATGGTTATAACCAAGGGAAACATGAATGAAAAGCCAATAAAATCATTCGTTATTTGCAGAATTTGCTATATTTCTATCTTCTTTGTTTACAAGATCAGTGTCTTAATGAGTAACAAATTTCATGTAGTAAAACTGAGGATTTCTAAAGCCACTTGTAATCTAATAGGAACCCTTCTACCATTGATTTTGCAGTAGTATAATGTTCTCCCTTCATCTGTACGCCATCTGTTATTAAATGTCCCAGGAACAGCAACACTGTCGAATTACCTGTGGAAACTTTGCATACATCAATCCACTTAGTATAATTGTTTTTTCGCATTTGGAAAACCACCTTTTTCCATCTTGCGGCTCTACTCTTGGGTGGACAGAGTCGTATAAATTAAATAGATGCATCCATAGGCTGCACCTGAGTCTTCCCTGGATTTGCATATAATACTATAATGGGTTACTTGTTTGTTTAACACTCCGTTTTGGTAACGTACCCCTTAGGGGCTCTACCATTGCGCCTGCGCCGGGCGGTTTGGCCTCTAGGTTGTGCCAGTAGATCCTCAGTCATTCTGTACGTCCATACCACGTCTTTTGCCTAGTATTGTGTAGTTTTTTGACTTCAGAGAGATCTCTGAAAGCTTCATTACTACCGTAGAGAGGAGGTGGGAGTCTACTGATATGGTCAGAAGGCCATGCCGCAGCCTGGAAGTTAAGTTTGAGGAGACTAGAGCGCCCTCACTTACGCTCATAGACAGCGATCAACCTACCAACTATAAAGAAAAGTGTATAAAGATCTGGCTCTTGTCACTGAATGAAAACTACCGAGGAATGGCAGATCCAAAAACGCAAAGCATGCGTCCTCCCATCTAACTTAAAAACTATTTCCAATGGTTAACATTTGTAGCGAAGAGCTTAGTTATCTTGTATGTTTTAATGCCACCTGTGCATACTGATTTTGAGTCGGTATTAGGTGATTTGTGACCAATCTAAATATCCGTATGGGGTAAATAGCCATGCCAGCATAGATACTGTTATCAAAGGAATTAAAAAAACACCACGGTGGGTAATTTAACACATAACTGATATAAGTGACTGCAATAAATTGCTGATACATCAACTGACTAATCACGATGAACGACTATAACAATCACCAAAACAAATGATTAGAAATGGCCAGTAGTTTTCTGTATTACTGAAGTCTATTGACAATGTGACAAAAAGTTGTCGAGTCAACGAATTGGCAGAGTTTGCATCAAAATTCGTCATAAATTTTGACCGTTAAATCATATTTATTAACTACATTAGCTTACTCGAATTTGGGGAATGTTATCTCATGCATTGGATTTGGACAAATGAAACTAAGACAAAAATAAGCACAAACATTCTGCTGTGCAAGAAGATTCATTAAAGTTCAATTTGTAACAAGAATTTGCTAAGGAATATCAATTAATTTTTATGTGTTTCATCCGTCCTTATAAAATGCGGCTATCTTAAACCGTGAAATCCCACAAAATCGTGTTCGGGATGAATCTTGAACTTTTAGGTACGTCCCTGTTAGGCCACATACCTGCACTCTACTCCCCCATATCGCTTAGTTTTCCAAGTATCTTGCTCTTATCCTTGATAATATTAATAAGTCTTTTGTTGCGTCTCTAATCACAATATCCTTTACCATGCATGTAGAAGCATTTCATCAAAATTACCCGGAGGCCGCTGATGGTCATCTTGAAAGGATTAAAAAGGACGAGTCAGGAGGATGTGCTACTTTTGTTGTTACAATTCAGTTTAATCGACCCGGTAGCTTGGTGGCTGTCGGATGCAACGATGGCCGTATTGAAATCTGGGATTTCGTCACTCGTCGAATTGCAAAAATCATTGTGGCCCATTCGCATCCAGTTTGCTCGATAAGGTAATATACATCGCTAAAGAATTAAATTTCCATTTTGAAAGAAGGGTCTACTTATTTGTGTTATTAGCTGGAGTCGGAACAGCCGTCAATTGTTGAGCGCCTCCACTGACAACACCGTCTCCATTTGGAATATCGTGACGGGAGACTGTGAGCGTATTTTCACGTTTCCTTGTCCTGTCATGAAGGTGCAATTTAACCCACGAAATCCCGCCGAAATTCTTGTCTGCCCACTTCGGCATCCGCCTGTTCTGACTGACGTTATCACCGGAAAACCCATCATTCTCAAGCAGGAGGAAGAGGTAGTGTTCTGCCTTTTATGTGTCTTCCTGAAGTATTTATTTTGAGTTATAGCCTTCTCTCGGTTATATGTCAGGTCGATTTGGTCATTGCCACTAGGAAGGTAACCTTTTGCTTCACCCTGACCGCTATTTCTAGTTTTGACCTTTTAAGTGTACATTGCTACATAAAACTTCTCAGGGGAAATTATTGTTTATTTTTTCCTATTTTGTGGTTTTTAGAATGATCCTAGTGTTGTCGCCTCTTACGATCGCCGCGGGACGCATATTTATACAGGAAACTCGAGGGGCAAAGTAAGTCTAGCTGTTTCACATTCGAATGAGATACCATTCAATTTGATCGCACCTCTTGTTGGGTCGGTCATTCAATATGAAGTAGGTGCCTTTAGTCAGACGGTCCATTTTCCAAGTCTGACCACTGTGGCGTGAGCAGTTTTTTGTGTTATGTATAGGTTATTTTATTTCCCATAATTTGGCTGATATCTGCATACCTCTCACCACATCGTTTTATCTTATTAGTTAGCACTGATCTCCAGTAACTAATTCTAACCAAAGATCATTGAACTGAAGTAATTACTTTCAGTGACTTATTTTACAAGACGCTGATATTTGGTAACCGAGTCAAGCCACCTACTATTGACCCTTCTGATTTCAATTTTTTAGGTCTGTATCTACGACACTAAGACATTGAAAGTAGTGAACCAGTTCCGTTCGATCTCTACGGCTACTAATGCAGCCATAAAGTCAATTGAATTTGCACGACGTGGGGAGTAGGTTGCTGCACCAATAGTTTCCTTCTCCCAGAAAACCTCTCTCACTTCCTCACATCTTTATTTCGTCTTCTCCCTTAGTTTCTTCCTTTTGAATTGTGCTGATCGTTTCATTCGCATATACAACTGCTCCGATGCTCTGGAGTCTTCTGAGCCTGAGCCCCTTCAAAAACTCCGCGATCTTGTTACCGGGTGAGTCTTCAAACCTTTAGTCGTCTCGCCACTAATTTCTTCTCCACTTCGTCGAATATTGTTAACATATATTTCCTCACCCACTACCTTCTCGTGCCTATAGGAGTCACTGGCGCAAGTGCTGCTTCTCCGGAGATGGGGAATTTGTCTGTGCGGGCTCAATGAAACAGCACTCCATCTACATTTGGGAGCGGGCTAGCGGTACCCTTTTCAAGATTCTTCATGGTCAGAAAGGTGAGACATTGCTGGACGTGGTCTGGCATCCCCTGCGTCCGATCATCATCTCTGTCTCCAACTCCATCACCAAGGAGCAGATCTCGATTTGGGCACAGACGCAAGTGGTAAGTGGAAATTTGTCAACGTTCTCACTCAGCTTATTTTCAATTGGTTGGATTTGCCTTATCCCTATCATTTTTCGTGGTTATGATGTCTTTGTCGGTTGTTCAAGGATAGTCTGGCGATCTCTTCTCCCATTCCCCTAACGCCTGATATCAGCAATTCCTAACACCAAAAGCCCTCCCCAGTACATGCGCAGGCTCACCTAAATAGCTCCAACTCCGTTCAAGTGTGATAATATTCTTATGGCACTTTCGAAGTGCACTGCATACCTTGAATCTGCACTGGTGGAGTTCTCTCATGTAGCGGTCGTCTTAGGTGTGTTTTCACGATTATGTAAGGATTAAACCAATTACAACCTTTATCATGAAGTAAGTACCTTCAAGATTATGCTATCAAATTTGATGAAGTTGTCCAGACATTTCCCATACTTCGTGATTACACGAGTATTGAAGCACTATACCATTTGGGGGCATTTTTGGTGCATATTTATGCATTGAATTTGAAGAGAGCATTCTTTAAGGTGAGGCATAACCACGGAGACTGGTGCCTTCACAGGGCTTCTCTGTTTTAGCAAAACTGGTCCGCTTTCGCACCTGACTTTAAAGAGCTGGACGAAAATGTAGAATACGAGGAACGCGAGTCCGAATTCGACTTAGAGGACGAGGATAAGGTTGAAGATGAAAAACCGGGTGAATCTTGTTGCGGGTTATTTTTTAATGTCCCAAACTTTTAGCTGAAGTCATTCTTGACGCATTTAAATCCGTTTTTTAGGTTGAGTTTACCACTACTCGAGATTCTGCTCGTATTTTACACCGATTTCCTTCTTGAATAGCTTCCTCAATTAAGTGCGTTCTTCATTCTCACCAGTGATTTGGTCCTTTTTTGCTTCATCAGATGACGTTGAACAGGACATTATAGTGGACGTTGAAACGGTTGAACCAGTTGCGGCCTTACTGAGCAGGTTGGTCCATTTCTTTCGAATTGTGTTCCTTCAATTCTGTAGCTACTGTTTCGAAGTTCTTTATCATTGTTAGATACAGCAATATTCATTAATCCAACGGTGTTGGAAATCACTTGCACTTAATTGCGGTTTAGTGACGAAGAGCGGGAGCCTGATGACATTCTAATGTTCCTTTCAATTTCCCCGGAAGTCGATAATCCCGACGAACTGTCCGGTGGTGAGGAGCAGTCATCTATCCCGGCGGAAGTACAAAAGCCCTCTGGGGCCTCCCCCACCACCTCAAAACGCTCGAAAATGTCCGAAAAGGCCGCGCCGTCTCAGCCTTCTCAAACCTACACCATCGATCTGCCCGATGCACCCGTAGATGAGGTTGGATAAAGCGCATGCTACTATTCGTCATTTCAGTAGTTGAGTGATATTCACCACACTCTTCACTTGCTAGGTGCATCCACTGGTGGGCGTTCCAAGGAAACACGCCGGTAACAAGTCTGCCTCAGGCCATGGCTACGGCGGTGGCAGCAAAGGCGGTGAATTTTCAGACGCGGGTTCGTTTCGAAAAGGTCGAAATCGGGCAAAAAAGTGACAAATCATGCCCTGTATACCACCACCCCTCTCCTGTGCCATATTCATTGGCTTTTATTATAAAATCCCTATCCTATCAGCGCGTAGTTCTGTTGTACAAATTGCGTGGCTGATCGGACAGTCTTGTTACAATTATTTAATTAATTTTGGAAACCAGGAACCTGTGTACCTAGAGATGGCGAAGATTTCTCAGGGTTGTGTTTCATCTCGGGTATCTGGTTGCGCCTGGGGTATCTGGTCTCACTTCCAATTTCGGTTGTATGAATTTTTCACTATGAAGATATCATATTTTATTACCCAGTGAATACCTGCTTTCTGAGTCGATCTTCGATTAGTGAGGGTGCGTGCCACCTCCGCAAATAATCCTCCGACTGCATTTCAGTCAAGGCCAAGTGAAAACTGGACAGATTGCAACGCCGGGCAAGTTTCGGTTGGAATTCCAAGTAATCTTAAAGCCAAATGAAATCATAGACAGGGGAGCTGATATCTACGATGAGTCTTGGTCCACCAAATCCGAACCAAGTTCCAACAAAACTCACGGAAGTGACCATGCTTCCCGCCAAATTGGCCCAGTCACGGCGAAGACTAGCGACCCGCGTAACTATACGTCTCTCCAATTCCTCTCTGGTAGATTCCGAGATAATACGTGCAGATAAAATTCAAAACCACCCCCCAGTCCCCATATCAGAGGTTCTATCGGTATGACAACAACAACGGAGGATTAGATTCTTAAAATTTATTCAAAAACGACTGGAAATATTTGATGCAACATATGTGTGTGTGAACGTTGCTACTAATAACGCACACAGTTTACTATAAGAATACATATGTATATGCTTGTGTATACGGTTTAAAATGTCCAGTAATGATGGGGACTCAATAAAGCAGATTATGTGTGCATGTGTATGGATGTATACAAGGGGGAGTGATGACAGATGGATGAAATCGAAGTGACCGCAGAGTCGTCTGTACAAGTGGGATGTAAGGATTGGGAGAGGGAGTAGGGGATAGACGCTATTCAGTAGTTGATTTCGTATATAGAAGCTCTCCTATCGCCACTACCCGTGACTAAATGCCGATCATCCGCCGATATATCGCAGCTCAGTACAGAGAGGCTCTCCTTCACCCTGAACAAGTTAGCACCCCATGGAGGTCGCCAGGCATTGAGCCAGGAGTCCTTGCCAGTGGAGGCGAACCAAACGCCCGAATGGGCGAACTTCAATGATAGCACGCAGCTCTCGTGCATCCGTAGCTGGTACCGATCCATCCGGCCCGGTGCAAACAGTTCAATCTCGTCCGACTCCATACCTGCGGCCACCCACTCTTCCGTCGGTGATTTGGCCAGAGAAAAGATCTGGGAGTTGAAGTTGAACTGCGCTATTTGGCGATGCATCTCACGGATGTCCCAATTGCGCACTGTCTTGTCCAATCCACCCGTCCAGAGTTGAGCGCAGGTCGCGCTCAAATCCACGCATGACGCACCATCTCCGTGGCCCTGCAATCGTCGAATCTGGCTCTGGTTGTGCAGATCCCACACTGAAATCACACCATCTGACTGGCAAAAGTAGCAGAGCTTGCTGTCATTGGAAACCGCCACAGCATAGCATGCCTGCACGCCAATATCTATTTCTCCTTTTGGTCGTGGTGTTAGGCCCCCCATGTCCCAAATACTCACTACATTGGCTTCTCCACCGACAACCAGCAGATTTCCCTCCTACAATAAAAAGGTTGATATTATTATCATCTAGGTAAAATCGTTTTTAAACTGCAAAAGGTAACAAACCTGGCCCATTTTAATCGATCGAATGTAGTTTCCACCCTGGAGACAGTCCATAGTAGCGAGGGGGCTCTTCGATACGGTTGGAGCGCGTTCAGCGGTGGCTGCAGCCAGATCCCACAACTTCACAGTGCCCTTGCCACCGGTGTAGATGTGCCGGGTAGAGCTGTTTATCATTACCGCGCAGACAACCTCACCGTGTTCAATGGTCTGGATGACCTTCGTAGAATGTGGAATGCCCGGACCTGAGCAGACTTCTGGGGGCATAGTGATGGGTGCAGGTGGTTGGCCCTCCATATAGACGTACGAGTACGTCCTAGAAGCAAGAACAGAAATAAACAAAAGCTCCGCATATAGGGGAGGATTGACCTGGCTTCCAGAAATGAGGTGAAGTGAAAAAAGATCTTTGATTGTTTACAAAATGCCAAAAACGAGGTGCCGCCTTCACCATTCCCTTTCAAATGCATAGAGGGAGAAATGGAGAACTGGCTTCTAGCAAGACGGAGAGAGAATTGATTTACCACCACCACCACTGCCAGACGGCGTGGCTAGTGGGCGAGAGGTAGGAGAGAGGCATGTTTAAATTGCTTCGCCATACAGAGGGGTACGTGTGTGTACACACGTACGCACACCACCACTCTCCTTTTTCCAGCCTCGCCCAGCCCAACCCAGTCCATCACTCCCCTCGCCCCCCTCATTCCATCAGAAAGAAGCAGAGGCATGGTAGAAGAGGGGCGTCTTCTGCAGCAGCAGGAGTAACACCGTTGCAGAAAAGGCTTGCTACACTGCACAGCGCTGCAGTGGCGGGGAGAGAGGTGGAGTGAGTGGGTGGGATGCACGCGCCCGCACTGCGTGATGTAATCTCCTGTCTATCACTGCTGGGAATGAGCGCACGCACACTGCTGCTACTGCCGCCGCCAGCTGCTTTTATTCCCCTGGGGTGGAGGTAAGGGGAAGCAGAGAAAAGGAAGAGTAAAGGGAGAGGTGATGGGGTGACACCCACCCGCGCCCACTCACCATCACCGCCGTCATCAGCACCAGTAACCGTGGCCTTAAGCCTAACTCCTGGCCGTGACTCTTAAGTCTCCACATTTGTTGCCGGGTTTGGGTTGCGTTATTACGCCTCCTCCGCCTTTCGTGTTCACACAACCAAACCGCATCACATCCCCGGTGGAAGGTCTCGGAAGAAAATAATCCCAAACTCTCCCACCTAAGGTAGAGTTGAGCTAGGAAGCACGCATATGGGCCTCCCTCTCCCTTCCCTTCCCCCTTCCTCTGACTCATTCGTTAATAATTTACAGACACAAAGATGGAAAGAAACTGTTTACTTATTCATGTGTCAAGCCAACTCGGCTCTAGCCACTCCATTTGTCCCTCTAGTGTCTTCTTTCCTCTCCTCGTTCTTCGAATTGCACGGGTGTGTAAAAAAGGTGCAGAGTACTGGAAGATGTCCGCTCAAAATGAGACAAAAGCCCTATTTTGGAATAGGCAAACTAAATCCGATGAGGTAGAAATATGAATTAATGTTGGCCTTAATGAGTGATACAAAGAAGCGCGTTAGTACGGTCTCGTAGGACAGCAAAACCACTTTATACAGCAACGCGACTTATTATGGTTGAGACAAAGAACGTCGGATGCAAAAACTCCAATTTGTACTCGGACAGTACTTTACTCTTCGAGGAAGATACAATAATCCTCTTCTAAAGATGGTAGAATTTGTGTCGACTACATTTCAACATCACACTTCGATGGCTTTTTCAAAATCACTAAAATCTACAATAGAATCTTTTACTAAGCAATATGATACTGTTTGAACGAATCCCATCGATATCACGTTCGGTGCTAGTCTCAGAGAAGAATCAACCACCAAAAGATGCGTTCCATTTAGGTACGCCACTGAAAAACTAGATGCAATTGTCCGCAGACCAAGACGACCCCACGACGTCCCAAACCAAACCTATCTGCGACACGATTTAAAGCAACCGACTACCACAACGGTACCAGCGGTAGTGACAATTAGAAGTGCTATTATCAGTAATCCACCTTCGTTGTACCTCCCTTTGTGCACCATGGATTTCTTCCGAGTGGCTAAACTACCATCTGAGGTCACGATACCTTTCGGTCGCCCTTGGTCATCAGAAGACTCCGTCTAATTGAAGGGTTGGACAGATCCTCGTACAAATTATTCTCGCTTGATTGTTTATTTATAGCCGTGTTTTCTACTGCGGATTTTCGTCTGTCCCCTCTCACACACACACGCATCATCCCCCTCGCCTCTCCCCCACCTCCCTACTTCAAACCACGACCTAGGACGGACGGGACGGGTAGGTAAATAGCCCTCCGAGCACGGGAGAGCAAGCGGGCAGAAGAGAATGAGGGGGAAAAGCGTGGAACGCCTATATGGCTTGCCTCTGTGTGTGCTGTGGACAGATCTTCCTTTGACCGGATGCTTGCAGGGGACCAGGGCTACGTGGGCACATTAATGTGTGTGTTTGGCAATATGCGAAGCGGGAGGTGGAGGAGAGATGGTGGCTTTAGATAGCACGCATCTTTTGTAGGCCCAGGGAAATTTGTCAACGTGGCTGTGATTCAGCACTTTTTTTCCACATTTACTACATGTTACATTCAGCCTCTACTGTGTTAGCCATACTGCCTACGCTTGTAACCACCTCTAGTTCTTCTTGTGTTAAATGTATTAAATTCATTTCTAGACTTGTATGTCCTCAAGGGTAAGTCATTGTCTCATAAGAAAACTAGGGTTAAAGAAGACTGTAACTCCTTAAATGCGAGAAATGATTATTCCCACCCTAGAAATCCTCATTGGAGCTAACTCTCTCTTTTGCCTGCCTCCCTGCAACACGCAAACGATTGAGCGGCCGAGGTCGTAAAAAAGAGGAGATGAGGTGGCAAGCGATATTGTGGCAAAGAGAGGGCGGGAAGGAGAGGGATAAACGTTGAGCAACGCATGCGTGTATGCAGGGAGAGAAAAGACCTCTCCAAACTGCCTCCTCTTTCCCTTTCGCTTCCACCACCACCCTTGTCTCACTTTTCCACTCGCAGTCAGCACGTGTGCTTCTGCGCACGCACACACAAGAAAAACCCCACTTTAGGAGAACAAAGAAGGCGCGGACACGGGGTGGAGACGCGCCTGCCTGCGTGCGTGAGTGGGCTTTTCTCTTCCCCCACCCCTTTTAAGTTCTTCCCTCTTCCGGTGCGCCCAACCCTCTCCTACTCTCTTTTTTAGCCGCTCCAAGTCAATTTGTCCTCTATCTCCCACTCTTTCTCCCTACCGCTTCCCTAGCGATCAGTTTTTATTTCTCCTCTTCCTCTTCCCATCCTCTATGTATCCCTTAGCGTGATCCACTCTTCCACGAGAAAGAAATAGCGAAAGTAGCAGTGAGATTGTCATATGCTTTAAGATAGTGCATATCTCCAAACAAGCTTAGATCGATGAAGGCATTAAAAGATAACTTACGTTCGTCCGACGGCTAGTGTAGAAGTTCGGAAACTCCCATCAAATGGGATCTAAAATTTTACAATTAAAACAAAAATATCTGATTTGACGTGCAAGCGAGAAATTAGCAGCAAAAGGGCAACAGGAATAGAGCTATAAACCAGGATATGGCTATCTAGAACATTACCGAAATGGAGTGAAACAAAAGTCAACACAATAAAACCATGACCTGTCCGACACTTCCCGGCCTAATTTGAGAATTGAAAATGCACACCTAAATAGCCTAGAAATTCCCTCTATGGCGACAGGAAAGTGTGGAATTAATGCGTACCGATGAAATGGATCCGGGAGAAGCCCCAGGCGGTCTCAGAAAGTTAGAAGGGGGTGGAGGAGCAGCGGCACCAGGAGGAAGAGGACCGGGAAACCGGGAGAGGAGAGAAGGATGAGTGGGTGTAGAGGTCATGAGACCGGGGAGACCCGGCGGTGGGGGTGGACCCCCTGGGAAGGGCGTCATCGGAGTGGGGAGGCTCGGCGTGGTTGGAGTTGCTCCTGCTAGGAAGGGAGGGATTGGCGTCACTGATGCCAGCGATGGTACAGCTTCACCTGTGGGACAGAATAAGACATGGCCCAGAAGCATCAGAATGCTATTTGATTGCCCCTTTAGGATGGATAAATAATGCCGGATAACGTAGCCGCTTGGTGTTGAGACTTTTCACCAAACAAGTGTCATATTATGAAGGCTTGATAAACCGTGCTTCAGTGTTTGGGCTGGCGATGTCAGTTATGAAAGATGAGAGAAGAATGCTACTGGTGAGTCTGTTTAAAACAACAAAGGTACGAGAAGTGACAAGCCTAAAACACCCTCGCAGAGGCTCTTCCCCTCTAGAGCATATACAAATAACGCACGACAATAGTTGGTGACCCACTGTGAGCCAGTTGTCAAGGCTTTAAGTGTGTCTAAAGGTGTGATTTTTGAGATTACTCGGGCAGTAATCCAAATTCAAAAGCCTAATTTCCAAGACATCGGTTGCGCCATGATAAGAACTGTAAACTTGGACGCATGCGGCACCTTAATTAGAATTGTTATGGGTGGTGAAATAACACACGGTCAATCTGGAGAAAAAAAGGACACAAAAACTCCATTTAGCGCTACTTAAAACCCTCAAGTAGGTGAGGCCATTCGCAATCTTTTAAAATCAAAGCGATTAAAGGTGAACAAGATTGCCTTTAAAAAGGAGAGGAGCCCTTACCCCTTGCTACTCTACAGGTAATTATGAATGAGCATCAGTCGAGTAATATACACCAGGGACGCTTCCTGATTAGTAAATGCAATTTTCTGAAATAAAGTGTGCAATAAAAGGGGGCGAGAACACACCATTCAGTTTCACACAAAGAAAAATCATAAACTATCTCTAAAAATACAGTGCAAAGCTCCTCTTCCTATAGCAGGGTTCTGTGTGCAAAGCCGAAACAACGCGGTTCTCATCACCACACCAGAGGGAAGGGAAGGGCGATGTGCTGGGGTGATGATAATTGGCAATCCAAAAGATGGGCTAGGCACGCACGCACGAACGCCTCAGTGTTCAGCCAGCGGTGGTAGTGGTGGTGGCGGCTGTGGCGTTAATCCGAACCCACTCCTCCGCCCCTCCCCACCCGTCACGGCTGACCGACTAGTTGCAAGGGGCGAAGTGAGGAGGGGGCGGAGAGACGAATTATTCCCTCGGGGGCACTCAGACTCGCCTGCCGAAACGTGATGTCGTGATGATTGGGGGAGGGGATGAGAGAGAACTGGAGATATAATCAGTCCCCTCCCTAAGCGTGTTTCGTCGCCGCCGTCATCGTGGTCTGAGTGAGTAGGGAGGAGGATTGGGGGCACACAAAGACACGTAACAAAACGTGCTCACACATTAAGGCACAAACCACCTCTTGACCAAGCACATCGCTAGGATAGGAATGATTCCCCAGTTTTTTGTGTAAAGGGTAGTCAAGACAGCTTCAAGTCAAGTGAAAATGGCAGGGCTACTGATCTGAATTACATGGGAAGAGGGAAGTGTAAGGAAGGGGAGGCTATCAAGACGGCATATGGAAACGGAAACATAACCCGACCAACCGCGCTGGCACATCTCTCTGACTCCCACCTCCACCATTCTACCATTTCTGTTCACCCGCCCGCCTTTCCGTATGTAACATTTGTGTTCTGCTGTTCGTCTATTCGGACACCACCACTTCTAACATTGCTGGCAGGAGGAGGAGGAGAAGCGGTAGTAGCATCAGCTAAAACGACCTAGCGGGCGCGCGTCCGTGGGTGTGCGCATAGTGGGGAGAAACAGTCGCGTAGCATCATGCATCACCCCTCCCATCTCTTCCTGGTTTCCCACCAACCCGTTCGTCTGTCCATCTACCCGCCCACTCTCCCTCGTTCTCTTTATTGCGCCACACTCTGAACCCCACCACCATCAAAACTCCCTTGCCCCCTGCTCCCCCCTTCGTCGTGTCAGAATCCATCTGTGTGCACGTGGGGGAAGGGGAGGGGGAAGAGAGGAGAGGGATGAGTGAATGGATGGCTGGTCGGGGTGAGGTAGTGGGTTTGGGGCCTAGGCACAGCCTATGCAGCGCACACCCACGCACGCACACAAGTAGCGTGCGACTGTCATCAGAACTGGGTCGTCCGTGGGCACGCACGCACACATACAAACGCACGGACGAAAGCGCACCATTAACACACATACACACCAGTGCGGTTATACACACACACATTTTGAGGCAAAGCTTTCTATCTCTATCTCTCTCCTTTAGACACATCCGAGACGCACGCACGCACACAGAAAATCTCCCAGTTTATTCCAGCAGTAGAAATGGGTGGAAAAAACAACACAAACCATTCCTTAATAACTATATTCAGGTTTGAGAGCTTCCCCCCACTTAGCTAACAGTACGTAATTCGTAAAAAAAAACATTCGACGTTTTCAAAGCTACAAGATGTAAACACCCGCACATACGTTGACTTAAAAAAAGGCAACAAAAGTGTTTGAAAAAGTGTGGTTATATGGATGAAAACTGGTGCCTTGAGTGAGGCACCGCTCCGTTCTATAAACACCGATCATACACACATGCATGCACACACACACGTGTGTGTGTGTGTGTGTGTGTGTGTGTGTGTGTGTGTGGAACGGTCATACATAAGCCGAAATTACGAGAAGTCGGAGAGAAGGCTGAACACAAACCCCACCTTGAATCCTGGCCTGGCGATGTTAATTCCCACGGAAACACGCACATACGCACACTATCTCTTGGCTGAAGGTTCTACCCCTCTGAACCGCCGCACCTCACCCCACTTTCCACCTTGATGAGAATGTCACCCGCGTAGCTGTTAAACCGTCGGAGGTAGAAGCTGGCATGACCTGACTAAGCGCACGCACATCCTAGAATTTAACATTTTTCTAGTTTGTCGCTCTCTCACGTTACACATGTACCACCTCACCGAGTCAAAGGGTAATCAATGCAGTTAACAAATGTAGGTCAACTCTTTGTTGTCGCCATTTCAACTTTTACTGTCTCTAAGCGGATGATAAGCTGGAATGCAGCTCACAGTAATAGTAGCACCGGCAGCAGTTGTAGAGCAAAACCGAGCATAGCATAGCACAGAGGAGAGCTACAAGGAAGAGAAAAAGGAAGGAAAAAACAGCTCTGTTCCTTCCTTCGTATGCACGCAACTGCGCACCGACGCACGAAGCGCGTCGGAGGCGTGTATATGCCCATTGAGGCGAGAAATGGGGTGGTGGCGTAACCCCCTTTCCCCTTTTCTCCCTCCCATTTTCAGGAGTGAGTCAGACGTGAGACAGGGAGGAAGAGACGGATAGGGGTAGAATGGTTTTTTTGGGTGACGGTTAGAGAGGGGCAAGCGTAGCAAATCGCACCCGGACTGTTCGTCGACTAAATGGGTTGCTGCCTCCCCCAGAGAGGATTTGAAGCATGAGAGAAAACTCACCGATCGGAGTCGAAGTCACAGGAAGCTGAGCGTTGACGGATGTAGAGGGCTTAGGAGAGACAGCAGTATTATTCGTTGACAAGAAAGGTGTCCCGAGGTTGAGAGCACTGGGGGATAAGGGCGACCGATTTTCTCCATTACTGTTGGCGATGGCGTTAGTGTTTGGAGTCGAGGCCCTATTCCGCTGATAAAATCAAAGGCTCAAATGAGGAAGATCCCTCCAATTCCCATAAGACGCAACAGGCGTGTGAAATTTCCTGGACAGGGCTGTAGCAGTGCAAGTGTGTGTGTGCGTGCCTCCCTATAGATGGCCTTCATCAATATTAATCCCATCACTACCGTAGCCGCTATTCGGTTGCACACACACACACACCCGTTCTATCTCCATTAGGTGGAGATCTCGCACTATAAATTTGCCGGATTTAATTGACCTGCCTTGCATCTTGACGAAATAATCAGGAGGCTACTGCCGCACGCACAAGAAATTATCAGGTAGTAGAACGACTTATCCGTTGAGAACGAAACATTCTGACAGACGGTTGAGCAGTAAATGAGAGAATGTGAGTCGGCAACATTGGGTCATGGTGAGTTGAGAGGAGGGGGGGGTTAGCAACCATATTTTATGGATGAGGGGCTTGTGCCTAACTAACCTCGAGTTTCGTGTCGTTACCACAGCTGGTGCTGCCCCCGCCATTTTCATGTGGACTGTGCCCAATTGCAGCTGCCGTGCCGTTCATCACGACGTCCTAGGCGAGAGGGGAATACAAACAAGGGCGAATTAGGTGGGAACTTAGTGACAAACATGGATGTACACGCACACCGACAATCATGCCGTCTAAACTCCATTCCGGGGTGAACAATTAGTCCGTTATACGCTGGTAGTTAAGGTCTTTGAGTCAGACGTTCACGAAGGCAACTACTATTCCATGCAGAAGTAACTATTGACAAAGGTGCCGTGTGGTGCCACAATGACAAGGGATAAAAAATCCATAAGGGTGGGATAGAGGGCAGAGGCAAGTTTTAGTCAAAGTCTCTTCCAATGCCATAAACAGCCTTTCACTATTGTGTTGCCTCCGTTACTATTGTTGCTGATGGTGGTGAAGGCGGATGGTTGCCTAGATTAAAGCCACACGAGGCAGCATATGCAAGTGGTAATCACACGGGTGATGGATCACATTTATTGTCTAAAATAATGTCACATACACATACAAACGTTGAGAGCATGAATTACTGTGTGCACTAATCATGACAACACTGGAGCTTCAGATGTGTTGTGCGTGTGAGACAGTAAACTTCTGATGATAAGAGCTAGAAACAGAAATTTCGAATAGTTTAAGGTCTGCCTGGGATGAAAGTGGCCCATTCACACACAAAAGATCGCAGAGTGGTGCTGTTGCCAGCATGCTACAGCTTCAAGTGGAAAGGAGATAAAAAGGTGGGTGTGTACGACAATAACTGTTCCCATACACACACAAAAACACAGTGAGGTGTAGACTGAAAACACAGACAACAGAAAGGTGGTAGTCTGTGTTGTTGAACGCATCACAGGTGTGGTGGGGAGGGGGGGGAGATACGGGAATAGTGAAAGCAAAAAACGAGCTTACTCGTTTGACATTGTGATTGATGTGATTGGCACCATTTAGGAGTTCTGAATCACTCTTAGCTTCTTCGTTTTGCTAAAAAAGGGAGGGTGATTACCTTCTATTTAACAGGAGAGAGGACTTTTCGTTAGTTACGTGTGTGCAAGTGTAGTGTAACTAATGGTGCATGCAGATTCGGTTTGTTGCCAGAATACAAGGCAAAAAGAAAAAAACAGTAACGTAGAACAAATCCAGGTCACTTTGGCCTAGGAAACATCAAAAAGAGGGAAAACTAAGGTATGGTCGATGGGAAGATCCGGGGGGCACGTGGTAGGTAAAACTCAACAAACTACGACTGCGTGAAGGAAGAACCTGAGTTTAGGGGGTTAGAGTTAGTTAGTTAGTCCCTTCTATGACCCGACTCGTATGCAATGCTAACTAGATGATAAAATTTCTTGGTGATCTATCGTGTGCACGCAAACACGCACGCAGCCACGCAGACACGAAGTGTACATTTGCATTTTGTGAAAGATGGTGGCTGGAGGTGGTGGGTGGGAGGAAGGGTATCCACAACAGGGGTGCACACACAGACATGCGCGCAGCATTTAGTCGCTGACCTTGTGCGGTTCTAGCTCCACCTTTTCCTCCCTCCATTCCCCCTTGAATGCATTTGTGTAAGTACATCAAAGTTTGCCTTTCAGACACTCATACTTACGAAAACTAAACAATCGCCTACATCTGGTGGGGCTGCAAAAGCAAGGTTTTGTGTTATCCACACGCACATAAGCACAGCGACCAACTGGCCGCTTAGTCGACTAAGTCGAATCATCACAACTCAGATAGATTCAATGGAACAACGCCCGTGACTTTAACATCACTATCAAAACCTAACTCGATGGTCGGTTTCATGTTTAGAAAGGAAGGTGCAATTTTTCGAGTTTTCTAAGTTATCACGTTTGCCAATCAGGCTTGGAGGAGAAAATAAACTGTTACAGTTGATTTTCATACCAGGATTATGAGTCCAATACTTACACAATCGACACCGATGCTGTTACTTCAAATTCCACCAATTTGTTTGGGACGTATCGGATATTTTGTGACTGATAACAAACGTTGAGGTAACCTTAACAATCAATTCAAGCACTCCTTCCACTACTAAGAGGCAGTTTTATTGAAAACATTCTTGAGTAAATTTCTTTACTCCATTGCACATCCAACACCACCAGTCACCAAGAGTTGGTGGATTTCAAAGCCAGTACAGAAGAAATGTTTCCGGGGAGAGAGCAGTTGCAGAAGGCCTCAACAACTCACATTGTCAAGCCGACGACGTTTAGAGTCCACAAAACCGAGAGTAGAGGAGGCTCTAGCTGGCTGAGTAGGACTGGATGCACCAAGCGCCTGTGGAGAATGAAGTCGGGGTGGTTCCGCAGAGCTGGGCAGAGGGGGTATCGGTGGTACTGCTGCCGCAGTTGGAGGGACCTCCGGTAGGGGAGCTGGTGCCGAAGGCAGACACGAGGGTGGTTGGGGTGGGGCCGGTGCTGGCGGAGGGGGTGGAAGGACGCCAGCCGCGGCGGCAGCTGCAGCAGCTGCGGCACAGGCTGTGTGTGAGAGATCGAAACCTGCGCCGGGGGCGGACTGCGACATGTTCGCGATGGTCGCCATCATGGCGGTGGGATCGACCCCAGTCAGCCCGCCGCATTGTTGTTGGGCCACTGCCGCCGTCATCGCTGCAGCGACAGCTGCTGCTGCGGCTCGCTGGAAAAGAAAAATGGACGGACATAGCAATTCAGAAAATACCCTGGTTTTAGGAAGTATCGATGGCAATATCATGTGGTCTTTTTAGGCAGAGAGAGTAATGACGCGACAGGCAAAAACAAATTAGAGACAATTCTGTTAAAATATGGGGGTGAAATTCTGGTGTGTGTGCTTTGAGGACTCGTAAACAGATGCACTCGTAAGAAGGCGTAGGAATTTCGCACAGACGATCAATAGACGCAACATTTGAAGTTGGGAATGTACCAACTGGGTGAGATGGCAAAAGGAGACCATGATAAACCCGTAGAGAATATTGAGAGTGAGAGGCATTATGGACGTGTACCAGCACGCGCAAAAAGCGATTTCCAAGTTAGCTGCGCGCTTGTCCATCGGTGACAGAGAAGCGCACATAAAAAATTGGATGACCAAGCCTCGGCTGGAGAGCGGATGGTGGTGGTGGTGATGTGAGCGTCAGAGGGTGTGTAGGGTGAGGGGGAGGTGAGTGCAGGAGGGGGGGGCGGTGGGGGCAAGGCGACAGAAGTGGGCGGGCGGTGATTCTGCGCTGTTGGCACATAAAGCGCCGTCCAAAAATCACGAGGCTCTTACAGGTGATGCGCTCTCCAGGAGCGTGGATGCACGAAGAAACTTAAGAGGCTCCTAAAGGTGGCGTGTGCTTGACGGTTGCACATACGCACACGCCTGTGCACGCAAGCACATACACACGCACGCGCCAGACATCAAGCAGCGCGCTCGTGCATACCGGTGTGCACGTACGTGCGTACCCCACCATCCCACTCCCTCTTAGGCCACCCCAAACGAAGGGTGGAAACACCCCTCCCCCCGCCAACCATGCAGGGAAGGTGGATGTGTTGACGGTCCCCTTGCCCTTCCCACATCGCCGCGACCACCACCACCATCTCTCCACCCCGGCAGGAAGCGCCAGACAAGCTACCGGGGTGTAGCTGGCGGTCGTGGTGGG